TATATATATATATATATATATATATATATATATATTTATAAATATAAAAATTAAAATTTGTAAATATAAACGTAAATGTAACGTATAGCGCATCGTCGATTGCCAACGCGAGACTCGGCATTCGGCGAGACGCGAGGAGCGATACCCGAAATGCATGGCATCGTGGCATAGCCGGCGCGTGCTAAGCAGCTACGTCACAGCTCAAGCGAGAAGGAGACAGCAGATCGTATGTCTGCCCTTCTCTCCCCGCTCGAAGCTTACCGAGTGCCGAGTCAGCCGTCTGGCATATCCCCTCCATCTGAGTAGTTCGGACACGAACCATAGCACGGACACGAACCATGTGTGTACCGTTACCGAGCGTAACGACGTAGTTGACGTCCACTTTCTCAGGCGGCGCGTCAGTATACGTCCGCTGGAACGGAATGATCCCGGTGGCCGCTCTCAGGTTTCTCTCTGGCTGAACGCACCCAATCACGTGATTTCTGTCATTCGCGCTCAATGGTAACTCCATCTATCTATCAAACAACTCGTGATTCGTGAACGTGAACAACTCGAAAACGTAAACAGTGGTAAACACAGTTTTGATTGCATTTCCAACGGGAATATTCGTTTTATAGAACTGAAAAGTGTAATAATTATTTTATAAAGTTAAGACTTATATTGAATGATAAAATGGACATGCAGGAGTTTTGCCGAAAGTTACCCAAAGTGGTACGTTTTTGTGTTCCTCGCCTAAAGAGTGACGCTTATTGTAGAAAATAAATACTTTTATTTTATATTTTAATTTACTAAACAGTGAATTCTTTCTTTGATTGATTAGGAACTTCATGCACATTTAAACGGTTCGTTAAGTGTGAGTACGTTGCAAAAATTATGTAAAATGCATCGCTCAGGCATTGCTTCCGATCAAGCTTGTATGGATACTACTAATTTCTCATCTTTAAGCGAGTACGTAGGCAGTATTTTCCTACAAAACACTATTGAGGTCATAAATTGTTCAATAAAGAATATACTATGTAATATTTATTTTTCAGATGTTTTAAAATGTTTGACATAGCGCATGCACTAACAATTACACCACAGGCCGTATTTGTTGCTACTTGCGACGTGATAAAAGAGTTTCACGAGGACAATGTGATTTATTTAGAATTGAGAAGCACACCTCGTGCTGTAAATGATTTAATGACAAAAACAGAGTACCTTGAAGCTATAATAAAAGCTATGGAGTAAGTAACTTGATAATGTCTGTACGTATATTTTTTAATTTTCCCTTGAGGTAATTAGTAAATGATATTTGATATATGTGTACAGAGCATCCAAATCTGAGTTTCCACAAATTCTTGTAAAACTACTAGTGTCAATTAATCGAAAACAAGGTTACGAATCTGCAGAAGAAAATATAAATCTTGCTATACAGTTTATAGAGAAATATCCAGGATATGTTGTGGGTATTGATCTTAGTGGCGATCCAACAGCAGGCGATTCATTTTTAGAGTTATTAGAAAAGTCCAGGAAAGTCGGCCTTAGTATTACGGCTCATTGTGCTGAGGTAAATTATCTTTTGGATAAGATCAACTATCTCTACACATACAAGATGTCCTATTTTAAATGACGATCTCAAGTATATCTTGAACAATACATTTTAAAGAAAAATGTTTCAGATAAAAGTTGGAGGATTCAAAGGGAATCAATAGACAGTCTTATTACATTTTGATTCTGGGACTCGTTGCCTGAGCTCATTAGTAGGGACTGAGTCAAATTTTGTAAATAAAACCTCTATTTTTTATTGTATTATCTTTCTACTAATTAATTTGAACAACTTTTGTCTAAAATATTTTTTTATTTACCTAATACTTTTTGAGATATTCAAGGAGAACTTGGTAACTTTTCCAATATTTAGCTTAGGATCTCGATAATTGTTTGTTGGAGGGAAAAGTGGTACAGGACTTCTTGATTTGATTTGATCTCAAGAATATGCTGTTGCAATAGTACTCCAACTTCTTTAAATACTTGTGTATACATGAAAGCTCCAAGGAGGTGTATAAGGAGATAAGATTGGCCCCCTTTAAACCCTTCAATTTTCATCTAAAATATTTTCATTTTTAAAATTCAAATCTTTAAAATTGTTTTGTTCAAAAGATATTCAAGGTTGTCATTTAAAATGAGACACCCTGTACAATATAGTATGTATAAATACAGGTGCCAAATGAAGTGGAAACAAACGATATTTTAAAATTTAAACCTGATCGATTGGGACATTGTACTTGCATTCATCCTAGTTTACAAGGTTCTCAACAATTGTTTAATATGTTATTGGAATCCAAAATTCCTGTTGGTAAGAAATCTTTGATAATTTCTTTTCAAAAACAGATATTTTGGTGAACGTTAATAATATGTATTATTTTACTTTTCTTATAATCTAGAATTATGCTTGACATCAAACATTAAATGTAAAACAGTACCGTCTTATATGTATCATCAATTTAAATATCTGTACAAAGCTGGACATCCTATAACAATTGCAGTAAGTATGAAAAATAACATATATTGTTAAAAATTCACTAACAAATAAAATAATTGTTTTTTTAGACTGACGATAAAGGTGTTTTTAACACGTGCTTATCAAAGGAATTAGAGATACTAAATTCTGTTTTTAATATTGGAAGAAAACAGCTTAAAGAATTGTCTATATTATCTGTACAATATAGTTTTGCAAGTACAGAGGAAAAGAAAAGTTTAACAGCAATTATCGAAAATTTTGATTAATGAATAAGTAGCTTGCGATCAGAAGAATTAGAAAAACTTTAGCACCGGTTTCAAGAAAATTGATCCATTAATAAAAAATTAAATCTAGATCCCCGAAAAATTAGAAAAATTTTAGTACCAGTTTCAAGAAAATCTATTAATAAATGAGTAGCTCGCGATCTGACGGACAGACATTAGTACTTATTATTTCCCGAAAAATTAGAAAAATTTTGGGACCAGTTTCCAAAAAATCCATTAATAAAAAATTAAATTCATCGTCGCCATCCCCCAAAAATTAGAAAAATTTTGGCACCGGTTTCAAGATAATCGGTCCATTAATGAATGAGTAGTTCGCGATCGGACATTAGATACTTATTATTTCCCGAAAAATTACGTGTATTATTTCCTGAAAAATTAGAAAAATTTCGGTACCGGTTTCCACGGTAACGAAAAATTATACACATTATGGTAATCCCCGGGAAATTCTACCTCTACTTCATATATAATTCAAAATTGAGGCGAAAAGTCCTAAGGTCAATACAATCAACACTGTCTTTTATAGCCGAGCGGCCGTAGTGTGCGCTCACGCATACTACCAGGCACCGCGGCTCACTGACGTATGGCCGGCTAAAGCGTGGCACTGAGTGGATTGACTTTATTCAATAATTACTGCTTCATTAAGCATTATAGAAAAAAATGACTCAGGACTTTTTGACTCAATTTTTTATAAATAACGCTATGTAGTAGTTAGTGGGCGGTCTTTAAGAAACACCCTATATACCGTTTAACCCAAATCTATTTATTCATAGATTTCTTTAAACTCTGTAATATTTGCCGATAGTTTTTCAGTGTAATATTTCATGTATTTTTTGTTTATTTATTTTTTTTTTTTAATCGGCCATGACCGTCAAGTAATATGTGAACAAAAGTGGTACGTAATATTTATATGTCACTCTGTAAATCAAAGAGAATGCATGAAACTCTTTCACATATTATAATTTGCACTAATTTAATTTATTATTATGTAAATTGTGATTTAAACATGTGACGTATGGTTGAATGATAATGAAGAATTATCTTGCTTTTGAAGTCTGCATAAGATGTGCTGTACTCATTAATTTTTATTATGTAAAAATATTGCACTATTTATCATCAAATTTTGTGCCAAAATATATATGAATAATTATTAAATACAAAAAAAGAGAGGAGAGAAGAAATATCTTGATGTGTGTCCCGATGTCTTTTAAGGTTTTGTAGAAATCAGCGTAAAATAGCGTGCATAAATAATTAGTGATAAAAAATAGAGTTTATCCATCTTTGTTAAGAATTTATATAATTTATTTAGGCTATAATTAAATCGGCTCGCAATCTCGGAATATTTCGTAATTAATGGCATTACATTCTATTATAGCTATAATCTTTTCTTTAATTACAAATATGTGCATTATTCTGCTTTCTTTAATATCTATATTTCTTTACATAAATCTATCCCTACATATTCGTATTATTTATTAGTCTTTTGCTATTATGGCCTTAGTTTAGAAGTATTGTTTGCATAATTTTATTTTGTACGATATATTTGTCCTGAAGATTGTAAAATAAAGATAAATCTATGTTATCTTACATCTCTCTCTCGACAAAAACTTCAAATTTTTGCATTAGGACCAGCTAGTACACGTTTGATCCTCTTAAATCTGGCTAAAGCGTTACCAGGCTCACTCTGCAATCCACCGAAGGCCTCTTTGTACTCTTTTTGTAAACGTGGACTTAATTCCTGCGAACTTCCAGTGAGAGACACCAAAGAATCAGAGTGTTCCGCTGTAGGACTCTGTTCTTCCTCGTTATTCTCGTCTTCACCAACGGGCAAAGATACTTGGAGCTGCGACAGTTTTTTTTGTCACTTGTTTTTATACATTTATATTTATATTAATGTATAAATATGTAATTTATATTAATGTATAAAAGTAATTTCTGCAATTTATTTTACGCAATATATCAATTAATTTTTAATAATCACATGATAATGGACGGTTTTAATCCGTTTTCCACTAATTTAAGCCTTACCATTTTGTTGTCCGTACGGAGATAAGAACTCGAATCGGGGTTCATGAATAATTCATTTTCGGATCCAACGGCTGTCCGGTCGGATGGCAACGTGTAGCCTCTCGATTGTCTCTTCTTCGCCTGATGCTGATCGTTATTCACCAAGAAAATTTGCCTAACGCGCTCGCGTTTCTTTTTGAAAAGCCCTTTCGAAGGAATTAGCTCAGAAGACTTATCGTGATTAGTCACGAATCGTTTCTTCAGATTTTCATTCTCCTTCGAAGTATTCGACTTGCCGATCTCGCTAGATCGATGTTGCCGCTTTTTATGCAGTTCTCTCCTTAAAGATCGCTTTTTCTCGTTTCGCTGGGAAGAACCAGCCGTGTCATCGACGATCTCGCGGATGGATCTTTTGGCTACAATCTGGCGCTTCTCGATCAGTTTATCCTTGAAATTCTGCCTCTCCTCATCCTCGTGCTCCTGATCTTGCAACTCGTCGAATCGGGCATTGTTGTCCTCGATGTCTCTTATTTGTTTCTGCACCTCGATATTTCGTCGAATCTCCTCCTTAAGCGAATCGATCTTCCGTTGAATCTCCTCCTCCACGCGTTTCTCGTATTCCACATTTGATTCGTCTTTCTTGGGCAAAGTAACTTTGCTCGTTGGTTCTTGAATCTTGGAGGAATCGCTCACCCTTGAGATCGGGTCCTTCGACCCGAAACCTTTGATCTTGGACGCGTCCTTGGGCGCTGACGCTTCGTTAAAACCTTTCAACAATTCGATACGAGATGAGACGTCGCGTGAGTTAGGATCCTTTGCCGCGATCTTCGACTCTTTTAACTTTACTGGATCGTCCGGACTTGACTTGGACGTATCGAGCATTTCTGAAATTTCCGCTTGGTCTCTCTTCACCCGAGCATCCTTTTCTTTTTTCTCGACTTCAGCCATCGAGTCTTGCACCGCAGCTATATCTTCCGATATTCCCGGTGAGTCGTCTTCTTCTATTTCCTCGTAATCCTCTGGGCCGCTTAGGGCACCACGTTTCGCGATGTCTTTCGCCTCGTAGTCATCATACAAACTCGATCTCTCGTCCTGATCGGTATATCTGTCGCCGTTTATGTTACGGGGTAAACGCAGGAGATTACTCATTTCCTCGTTTTTATCACGTGCCGTTGCCTCTTCATCCGCTTCTTCCGGTTCTTCACTCGAACGTCGCGAGTTAAGGTATCTGGACACATCGTCACGATCGAAGGATCCTTCAACGTTAGATGAATGGAGATCGACGGAGATCACGGAATCCGTGGCTTTCCTCGAAACTTTACGCTTCCCTTTCGTATTGTCTCGATAGGTATTGCCCTCTTCAGAATCATCATCCCCTTTCTCTTCATGTTCCGAGTTTATTTGTTTTGCATAACTAGAATCTCCTTTAGATTGCGATGTTTTAGCAACGGAAATCTCCCGTTTAGTTCTAGAAACATATAATCTTTCAAGCGATGTAAAATATAAAAGAATATTTTATGTGCAGAGAATAAAAGCATAACAAGTGACAAGTAGAAAGTGTAAAATCTCATTAAATCCACAACAGACGGGTAATGCAGAGCAGCCTAAGAAAATCGCGTACTGTCAATACCTGTGAGTATTATTGACGATTTTCGCGTGACAAATCAACGATTGTAATATCACGAGCAAGATGAAGACGCAGATGCAATCGTATAATCGATTTTTCATACTGCGGCGTGAAAATTCTCGCGGTACATCGCGAAAGCGTGTCTCGACGTTGCAATCACATTAACATGGAATTAAGAAGAAATTGAGTTATGTGTTCTCGCGAGTTGTCAAATCGAACCGCTATGAAACCGCTGAAGGGATTTATTGTATCGAATAATCGAATGCGATTATTTACGATTACGTTATCTTCTTGTGTTTCATCTTTTACCAATAATTTTGCATGATTTGCATTTACTTGAAGTAGCACGTTTTTCAATAATTATGACGATTTGCCATAAATACTGTAAGTTTTAGACATTACTTTAATCAAAAGTTTGAATAAGCCGACGAGTTGAGAGACCCTTATCATTAATTATCATGCCGTTCAAAGCAACGGACTTTAAGAACGCATGCATGCATGAGTCATGAGATTCACTAAAATTAAGGGCTTGAGCAGAATAGCTGACTTATAATTTCAAGACAATGTTTTATGCTTTAAATCTTTGTTTTTAGTAACGGTATAATACTGTCTTGTGTGACTTGTGTCTCACGTCTTAAACGTATATAATGCACGAAGTGTCAATATTTGCGTTACTAAAAACAAAGATTTGAACCATAAAACATTGTCTTAAAATTATAAGGGAGGGAGGGAAAGAGGGAGGGTGGGTTCCCACCCGGGAGGGAGGGAGGGAGAGGGAGAGAGAGAGAGAGAGAGAGAGAGAGAGAGAGAGAGAGAGAGAGAGAGAGACTTGTCTTTAGTGATAGTATAAATACCTTACTTTCGAAGTTAAAACTTCAAGACTAGCACTTTTTTAGTCTTTTCTCTTTTTATCTTAAATATACTGGGCGTTTAAGGAGGTTCTACAGATAATGGATGTATCTAAAAATTGGAAAAAACTTTATGGACGTATAAATTGAGATGCGAGAAAAGTGCTCGAAAAATTTTAGCATCGTTTACCGTGTAAAAATTTGCAAAAATGAATTTTGAAATCACAGTTTTTAACATAAGCTACATATGGCAGAGGGGCTCTTGGAGACAGGAAACGAGATATTAATTATATAAAGGCGACCTACCAGAGATTCAAAAAACGGAGCTCTTATAGATCTTAATCTAAGCTTTTCAGAAATATCGAGAAAAACAAGGGTTATCGCGTAAAATTTTGTAATATTGGCTATTGAAACAGGCCATATCACAGTTCACGTAGCGTGCTTCGAATAACAAGGGAGATTTGGCAATGTCGCAGCGACTGCACCCGCGCGAAAAGTGTACAGCCAGTACAGCACCACAGTATGACAGCACCTCAAACTTAAGCACCTAACGTTTACGAGCGCTTACGGAGAAGTACTCGCTCTAGAATTATGTGAAATTGTGAAATAACCACGGTCATATGAGCAGAACTGTCAAGTTCGCGACGTTACCACATTTTCTTTCATTATAAGCCGCCAGAGTCAAAGGAGCACTTACACGATATTTTTAATTATTCCTCGTTTCGACTAATATGGATATGATATAAGCTCTAACGTCATCAAAATTCACGAAAATGTTTTATAAATACTTAGAATCGATGAATTTAAAGATTTTCTCTTCATCTCTCAACTGACTAGAGAGTACCTGTAGAACCTCCTTAACCACTAAATATTAACATAAAGAGGAAAATCGCTGCAGTTTAATTTTAGGTAAGTTATTATAACATTCTCTTAAAAATGGCAATTAGCTTCATCCTAGAACAGAAATAAATAGAAACAAAAATAAATAGAAATGAAGAAGTATTTGTATGTATGTATGTACATACGTCAAGATGTACGTGCAACTTTCGATATATAAAAAATTATTACAATCCATTGGTAAATAAATTATAAACGCATTTTGTACGCACGGCGTACAAGGCACACAGATTCAGATATTTATATTTACAATACATCTATATAACTTACGCAATAATAATATATGTAATAATATATAAATGTGTCGCAAATAAAAGTAACGTCTAGGTCAAAGCTAGTTATAATTTCCGCTGAAATTGCTTTTACTTCGCTAACGTTCGATAAAAGTCTCTCGTGCACTGAGAAAAAAATATGTTAATTCAAAAAAATATTTAGTCCGATACGTGCAATTAAACATGTTAGTTAACTAAACATTAGTTGTTTCAACAATTATTAAATTGCATTAAAAAATATATAATAGTGCATTCATGTCAACCATCAAAATTTTTTAACTAAGAATTAATTAATTCAACTAATGTTTAGTTAGTTACTAACTAACTAAAATGTTTAGCATGTATCAAACTAAATATTTTTTCGGATTAACAAATTTTTTTCTCAGTGTGTATCTTATAACGCTAGAATCTATACTTTATATGCATGCCCATATCCTTCTTATTATTGATAATGTCTGATTTAATTCACCAATTCATGTTTCTCGCAATTCAAAAATGACACTTTGAGATTGCATCACCAAGATCAACAAGAGAAAGAAAGCATCAATTAAAGTCTTGCATGAAAACGGTAATAAAAGTTAAAAATATATAAAAACCGGCAGTCTATACAGACTTCACGAAATTCGAAGAAATTCGTGAAGAAATGAAGAAATGATAGAGAAATTTTAAGTTCAGTAAATAATGTAACGTGTATAAATAATATTTTTGACATATTTTTTTATATATTTTTTTAAATTATGTATATAAAAAAATATAGACACACAGAAAAAAAATAACATTCTTTTTTAGAGAATATCTTTATTTTTGACATGCAAATCTTAAAATGAGATTATATAGCGTTAATCAAAGATAAATTACTTGCATCAAAGCATTATACATAATTCAATAAAGAAAAATATATTCTTACTAGGTTTTTCACCCGCGCCCGCGTTTCGCGCGGGCTCAAAACTTTTTACTTTTTTGACGTAGAACTACGTCTTTCTCCGCGGAAGGGGGGGGGGTAATATCGGCGGGTGCACGATGCAACGCGACGATGCAACGAAAACATGTCACACTTTGAACGTTTAGATCTTCGAAACTAATAATCGTAGAGTAATAATTGACATCTCATTTTAAAGCTTATAAGAAGTCCCATTTATGATAAAACAAGTCCGAACTCTCTATTTCTTACCGTTTAGATATAGTAGCGTTAGAAAGTTTTTTTCTTGCAACGTTTTCTTGCAACGTTTTCCGCGAACTACTCATTTGTTAATGGACCGAATTTTAAAGAATTATATATGAAACAGGGGTAGAATTTTCCGGGAATGGCGGTGGTGGGGTTAATTTTTCGATATCGATTTTTTTTTAAACCGGTTGCGTAGTTTTTTGTTATATTTTCGAAAATAATAATCGTAGAGTAATAAAAAAGTTGTCATTATCGATAGCTTATATAGTCTCATTTTCTCTCTAAAGTCTATAAAGTCTCCAAAAGGGGTTACCGATTTCTATCTTAACAAATCTCCATGATTGCTATAATTTTTGTTATATCTTTGAAACTAATAATTATAATCGAGTAATAAGTAAGGTGTCATTCGATAGCTTATAGAGTCTCGATCATTTTCTCTCTAAAGTCTCTAAAAGGAGTTACCGATTTCTACTCGGATTTCTATCTTAATACATCTCTATGACTGCTCTTTTCCGTAAATTTTGTGATATTAAGGTGATCCTAAAGCCGTGATTCTAGCCGGTTTTTTTCTTAGCACTAATCTTTTAATTGGCTTTATAGAAATGCAAAATTCTTGTCTAGAATTAAAGTACGCATCAAAATCTAGGTCATAGTGGTCGAATTTATATCGAAAACGAAAAAAAATTAATATTTTTTGTTATACGTGACGACCACCACATATAAATTCGACCACCATGACCTAGATTTTGATGCGTACTTTAATTCTAGACAAGAATTTTGCATTTCTATAAAGCCAATTAAAAGATTAGTGCTAAGAAAAAAACTGAAAAAAACCGGCTAGGATCACGGCTTTAGGATCACCTTAAGCTGAAATTTGTTTTAATGAGTTTCATTAAAGGTTATTGTTTTATAGTCTTTATAGAGTGTCATTAAAGGAATGTTGGTATTAAATTTAGTGATGATTGGTGAAGGGGTTACCAATTTTTGTTTTAACAAATCTTCGTGTTTGTTCTAATTTCCGTACATTTTGTGATATTGAGCTGAATTTTTTGGTGGATAGATTATCATTAAAGGAAGGTTGATATTGAATTTGATGTCAATCGTTGAAGGGGTTACCGATTTATGTCTAAAAAAATGAAAAATTATACATGTAATCTTATATAGAATATTGTTAAAGGAAGGTTTGCATTTACTTTGGCCAAAATCGGTAACCCCTTCGGGTTACCGATTTTTGCAAGAAATTTATGATTAACACTGGGAGAAACCTGTATTGACAGGAATTTTTTTAAGGATAATTTTTATGGATAATTCTTCGTTACCGATTTTTTGAAAACCGGTTTCGAATTTTTCTAATTTTTCGGGGACAGATAAAATTTTAAAGAATTATATAGAAAGCAGGGGTAAAATTTTCCGGGGATTGCCATGATATGTATAATTTTTTGTTTCCGATTTTTTGGAAACCAGTACCGAAATTTGTCTAATTTTTTGAGAAATAATACGTAATTTTTGGGAAAATATAATAATAAGTAAGTAATTAATGTTCGATAGCGAAGTATTAATTCATTAACGGACCGATTTTCTTGAAACCGGTGCAAAAATTTTTCTAATTTTTCGAATCTTAAAGAATTATATAGAAACTAGAATTTTCCGGGAATTGCCATGATGCGTATAATTTTTCGTTACTGATTTTTTGGAAACCGGAACTGAAATTTTTTATAACTGATTTTCTTGATATGGCAATGTGTTCAGAATGTTCTAATACGTGGTTTTTTTTGTTTATATATAACTTTTAAAAATTAATCAATCAAATTTAAAAGAATTATATATTATATGAAATAGATGTAGGAAAGAGTGAAAAATATAATCAAATTAATAAAAAATTAATAAAAAATATTAAAACACTGCGCAAATTAGAATTTTGCATATTGTCGCTACATGGACCTTTACCGAAGTACAAGAGTATCCCCCCAGGATCCATGAGAATTTCTCCCACGTTAAAAAAGATGGAAATATAGTAAAAGAAATATAGTAAAAACATTTAGTATATTTTACTTCTCAAAAATTTTTAAATTAAAGAAAACAAACACAAATTTGCAAATTAAAAACTTGCATATTGCTTCCACATCATTTCATTTAGCCTATAAAGTTTTTTAGAAGGAAGCCAATTCATTATATGCTATTTGAGCAATTTCTTATAGAGAAAAATTTATGAGCTAAAAAAGAAACGGGCACAGTAACAACTGTGCCGCAAGCAACAACGTAGACCTACGTCAACTGTCACTATTTCATGTTAAAGTATTCAGCTAAGAAAAGTAGACGTAGGGCTACGTCAACTGTCACTATTTCAGCCAAAGGAAGTTGACGCGTAGAGCCCTACGTCTACTTTCCTTCGCTGAATACTTTAACATGAAATAGTGACAGTTGACGTAGGTCTACGTTGTTGCTTGCGGCACAGTTGTTACTGTGCCCGTTTCTTTTTTATTTTTTTTTAATTAACCAAGAATAT